CTCAGATGTTGACGGCAAGCGAGCTAGCTGCGCACATGCTTGAGTTTCTGGTCAAGTCGAAGCCGGCCCTGAGAAGGGCCTTGAAGCACTCCCGCAACAAGCTGTTAGACGACCTCGCGCAGCAGTTGAGCGGCGCCAGGTCCTCAAACGAGAGTCGAGTGGAATGGGAGGTGCGATGCCAGCTGCAAAGGTATGGGGGAAAGCGTTCCAGGTTTCAGGTCGAGGGGCTGAGAATCCGACGAGGTCCTCAGGGCGAGGTTTTGGCCACATCTGGAGATCTCTCGGAGGCCCTCACTGACTATTTTGCTGTTGTTGAGAACGGGCAGACACTCAGCTGGGAAGAACTGGTGGAAAGATACAACGCCCTCCCCGAACGTGGTAACGTATACCCCAGGGAGTTGGACATGATCACCCCCTTCCGCAGGCTCAAGCACGACATCATGAAGGCAGCCAAGAGGAGAGTCGCTGGGCCTGACGGGCTCAGCAACGATCTTTTCCAGGTCGCTCTACAAGAATGCACGCAGATCCTATTGCCGTTGTTCGTGAAAGTAGACATGGCGTCCAGGGAGCCCCTGCTGTTCAAAGGAGGTTGGCAATGTGATCTACACAAATCAGGGTCCCCCGAACACCTGGAACACTACAGAGGCATCCTGCTAGGATGTCACACGGCGAAGTTGCACCATGCCTTCCTCAGAAGCATATTGCTATATGCATCGATGCACATGCTGTCGGTGGTCCAGCAGGGAGCTCCCCCTCAGCGTGGCACTGACATTGCATCCTTGCATCTTCGGTCGGCCATGATGGTAGCCAAGGCTAGGACATGCACATACCTGTCGTTGTACACTGATCTAAAGGCGGCATTCTATTCGGTCATCCGAGAGCTCGTTGCCAGAATGGCCCAGAACAGCGAGGACATTCAAAACACGTTGGCGGACTTGGAGATGCCAGGTTGTCTAGAGCCACTATGCCATGCCCTAGTCGCCAAGCCTGGCGCTCTGGACGGACTTGCGAATAAGCACCTCCTGGAAGCAGTGGTTGACGTGATGGAGTGCAACTGGTTCCAAGTACGGGGGAGCACCAGGGTTGTTTCCCCCCGCCTAGGTAGGAGGCCAGGCATGCCACTAGCAGACCTCCTGTTCATCATAGCCCTCGACCCAATCACAATCGCGGTCAACAGTAGATTGGGAGCTCTGGGGTATCTTCAGAAGACTAGGGGCGTGGACCCGTCTCAGAGGATTTTCAGAGGTCGCGAGCACGAACATGTAGAGGAAGATGTGTGGGATCCTGCCTTCATGGATGACCTCGTCAACGGCATCGGGCTGTTAGACGCTAGGCTCTGGAAGGAGGCGGCCATCGCCCTCGTCACGATTATGTACGAAGAAACCAAGTCTAGGGGGTTCACCATGAACTGGAAGGCGGGCAAGACGGAGCTCATGGCCTTCTTCAGCGGCACAGGCTCCAGGAAGGCCCGAGGGGAGTGTGCGGCCTTGGCCGCCACTGGTCTTCTCGTCCCTTCCTTAGGCGTCTCCCTGTGCCTCGCTAGAACCTACAAGCACTTGGGAAGTTATCAGGACCATCAAATTTCTCTGGGACCCGAGCTGGCACACCGATGCCACCAGCAGCGACGTCCTCTCGGGGCACTGAGGCGCACGGTTTTCCCCAGGAAGCAAGTCAATTTAAGAGCCAGGTTGATTTATGCTACTTCTTTGTGCACGTCGCACCATCTGTTTAATGCCCTCACGTGGCACACGTTAAACGTCAGACAGGTGGCGACCCTGGCGCACAACTATTTGAGCCCGTTTAGGTTGGCGGCTGGTCTCGGCTACGATTCTAGCTCATGTAAGGCTGCTGCAGACCACAGAGTCTTTGTCACATGTGAGCTCATGCCCGTTGAGCTGGTGTTGAGGCTCAGGCGGCTGCGATTTCTTCCCAGGCTTCTCAAATCGGCTCCTGCTTGTCTGCTGGCGACCCTCGACGAGTTAGCTTCAGTGCCCGAATCATGGTCCGCATTGCGTTGCGATGACCTGTTGTGGCTCAGCAGACATGTGAATCTAGCCAGGGAGCTCCTGCCTTCAAGGCCCCCTGCGTGGTGGTTGTGGCTCCTGAGGTCAAGCAGCTAAAAGTTTTGGAAGCGAATCTGCAAGCAAGCGGAATCGGCTGCTAGGTCCAAATTTTTGGACGATCAGCGTCACGAAGAATTCAAGGACGGGTGGCGGAGGTGTTGCATTACCAAGGGTCTTGCGCTCCCGTCGTTTCTGCGTCCGCCGTCGGCTCTTGCCTTGTATCCCTGCCTGGATTGTGGGGCGGTGTTGACCACCAAGGGCGCATGGGCCTCCCGTCGCTCGAAGTGCCACCCCCGCCTAGACCCCGCCCCCAGCTACGTTTCAGGCACCGTGTGCATGGCATGCGGTCTCAACTTCCACACGCACCTCAGATTGCTCAAAAACGTTCGGCATGGCTCATCGAAGTGCTTGGCGGACCTTATGGCCGTCATCCCCCCGCTGAGCCCCGAACAGGTGATGCTGCTAAGGCGGATGACGCGGAGCTAGCGCGCACGCTCCGCGAGAAATGCCACTATGCGGAGTCAGCGCAGCTGCCGCCTGTCCTCGCGACAGGCCCTAGGCTGAGGGGGGCGGCTGCCTCCAAGGGCCTCCCCACTAGCATGCCGAGAAGATCTTGCCAACCCGTGTGTACCCAGGAAGAGACACCCACTCAGGCGGCGGCCCACCTGCCCGCGGCCCCTGGCACTAAGTACATTATGATCCTCCGCACAGCTCCCAGGAGTCAAGGCGACATCCAGGCTAGAGCGGAGAAGTCCAGTGCCATGGCGGGCATGCATGTTTTTTTGCTCTGTCACTAAATATCCTCGAGCTTTTCCAGAACTCCGTCGAGGGATTTCACAAGGAGCTGTTGTTCATTACTGATAGTATTCTAGCTGGGCGTGTTGTTGGTCTCTTGGCGGACTTTCTTCTTTCCTCGCGGGGCCCTGCCCCCCGCTGCAAATCCAAGGGTGGGGAAAGCAGGCCTTTAAGGAGCTGCGATGAGCCATGGGGGGTTGCTGCCAGGTCGCCCATCGGAGTGGAGGCAGCTGGAGCTCGACAGTGCGTGCCTTCGGGCGGCGCTGACGGTGGCGCTGTGTGCGGCGTCCTCGGGCCTGGCGACCTTGCTCATTTTAAACCCACCTGCTCCGCAAGCCAACCTGCCCTGTATTTGGAAGGTCCCCGAGGTCAGGTTCCTGTGCTCCCTGCAGGCAACGTCTCCGACAATCACGTCGCGCTGTGTGCCCATTGGGGACCGTCAGTGCCTGTGCATGAATGCCGTGCCGATCCTGGCCCCTCCTGACAGCAGCCAGGCAGAGTTCTACGTAGCTGCTGTTATCACGCAGGCAGCCTCACAACGCTGTGCCCCCACGCCTCCTGGGGATGCATGGCTAGAGGCGTCAGTTGCTTATCTATGCGCCCCGCTCGATCTGTATTGCGAGTCGGGTTGATGCTGGCCATTGCTGCTCTCCTCGTCCCCCGCTATATTTGCCGCCTGCCTCACCGCTGACGTATGCATGTGTGGACACCTCAGACGTTGGTCCTCAGGGCTGTGGGAAGAAGAAGAAGAAGGTGGAGGAACAATAAAAAGAGTAATAATAACAATAATAAAACGAATAGTACACATCAGACTAAGAAGGATAATGATAATAAGAACAATACGGATGATTATTACGATAAGAAGGAGCAGGAAAAGCATAAACATAATGCTATTAAGCATAGTAGTATTAGGATGAAGAGGAAGAAGATGAACAAAATACGAATACTAATAATAATAGTAAGAAGAAACAGACGAGGAGGAGGAGGAGGAGGAGGAGAAGGGGGGACCACACCGCGTGGTAAGTCGGCGGGACTCCAGATCTATACGCACGGTGAGGGGTTTTCGGGCCGTGCTCCGAGGGCGTCTCGGGCGACCTGGGGCCTCCGAGGTTTCAGTCGGGCGTGCCCCTTCTACGGGAGGACTATTCAAGCATAGTTGTATAATATGATGGAAGACGATTTTTCTACTAGTTTGGGTTACTGATATATATATATATATATGACTCTGCAATTTTCGCCCAACGTCCGCCTGTTGGACATGGCCATGACCGCGACGATCGCGAGGACGACAGCGGCAGCGGCAGCGGCAGCGGCGGCCGACGACCTTCTTGGACGATGATGTCTTGGATCAACGTCCATCAACCAATCGATCACCGAGTGACTGACGACAAGGGTTGGCGAGCGAACAACACACGCTCATACCCATAGGGGGGGGGACAGAGGGGGCTATGGGTGAGTGTTGTCGGATTGGAGACCCGCTCGAACGTGAGCTTTTCCCGCGGTCGGACAGCCCGCATCCATAATCGCGACCCCCGAACAATGAATCAACAGTTTATTATCCCCGGCCGATGCAGATTTGGTCGGGGGAGAGGGGCGGCAAGGCCGAACCTTACTATCGCGGGGGAAAGTTGCGAATCGAAGTTACTATCTTGCTATGTTGACCAGCATCAGCATCATCAAAATGTGTGGCATGACAAGGACCATCTGGAGCGAGGATCTGGAGGAGCGCCCAGGATCATCATCATCCTCCTCCTCATCATCATCATCATCATGATCATCTTCATCATCACCATTATCATAATCATTATCCTCCTCCTACTTCTCGTCATCATCATCATCATCATCGTCGTCGTCATCATCATCGTCATCGTCATCATTATCATCACCATCGCCATCATCAGCGTCGTCGTCATTTTTATCATCATCTCCAGGGAAACGTTTATTATTCCCTGGACCCCGAATTCATTATTCCCAGGGTATAATATCAGGAGAATGCGGTTACCTATAGCCAGTCTTCTTTTCTTCCGATCCATGTGCATGAAGTGTGTTGTTCGTTCGTCAAGGGTTCTATCAGCGCGGCCTGGAGCGATCGCACGAACACATCCCTGGGATTGCCACCAGCCAGCGACTGCTGAGCGACAGCGGCGACGACGACCCTCTCCCCCGTTCCGCAGGGCACCTCCGCCGACGTACGCGTCATCGTGGGGTCCGCGGAGGGTCCCGTGTACCTCGCCGACCGGCACGAGGTGCGCGAGCTCTCCCCGGCGGGGCTCACGGAGGGGCCGTACATGGCGTTCGCCGTGTCCAGCAGCGGCAGGCTCGCGCGCAGGGAGACCCCCCAGGGGTCCTGGGGTGACGCCAGGGGGGGGGGAGAGGGCTCAGAGGGGGGACGAAGTTACTGTAAGTTTCAAGGCGCGAGCCTCGGGGTCATTGTTAGGTCTGGCATGTCCTCCTGCAGGCGGATTTTGGGCCAAAAACGAATTTGTTGAAACATCATTCAACAGTAGTCAAGAATAGTTGGAACATCGTCCACTGACTACCTGTGCACTGCTTTTGAACATGTCTCTGGTAGGGGGACACGCCCGACCCAAGGTTTAGTGGGTGTGCTCGTCGATTCTTGGCGGCGCGAGGCGCGCTCCAGCAGCTGCGCGCCGGATCGTCCCGAGCGGCCGCTGGCGAGCCGGGTGTGTCCCCCTACAGGCGGCCTTTGGACGAAACATAAAAAATAGTCCAAACATAGAAATAAGAATACAGTCAAAAGTAGTCAAACAAAATCGTCCCAGACAATTTTTTGACTATGTTTGAACATTTCTCCTGTAGAGGGACATGCCCGACTTGAAGCTACGACCAGAAGATGAAGGGGCGACATGGGCTCAGGGGGGGTGCATCGACCCTCTCGCCCATTCATCGCCGATAGGGGTCCGATGGCCTGCAGTGGGGGCCCGTGCCAAGAAACCCTGCTTGCCTCCAGAGTGCCCTGGGTTTCCCTGGTTTCGATGGTTCTGATATGGGAACCGTGACGTTCACATACCAAAAATCAATGGACGCCATGGGGTCTCAGGGTTGGGTTTCTTGTGGAAGGTTTCTCGCAGACGGGCCTCCACTGTACCCTGCCCAGGAGCTTGCCCTTTCACTCTCGGAGGTCTGTCGCCGATCCGTCGGGGACGTGTCGCCGATTCCAGGTCAATGTTTCCCACCCTGAGCTGGCCCCCCTCGATCGTCACCCCTCACAGGGTACGCTTTCTGTTCTGGGCGGCCCTCCGGAGACGTGTCTTCTTGGAGCCCTCTCGTGTGCCTCCCACTGGGCTCCGCGCCGCCACGGCCGGATCCCCCGTGCGGTGCTGGCCAGGGCGCCCCCCTCGGACCGTTCGGGGGGCGAGTTCTCTTCTGCAGGCGCTCTTCGGGGGCGGAAAAGAGGGGGGCGATGACTAGGGGGGGGTGGATATCATGGCGGGGGCCATGGTATTTCCCCAGATCGCGTGGCGCCTCTTCTTATTTCATTACGTCCCTGGCCCCCCCGCTGGGCCGCGCGCATGCCGCCGGTCATGATTTGCATCCCCCCCCTCTTGGACACCCTCCTCTTTGCCGCTCCCGAGCTCTACGCCGTTGCGCTGATCCTCAGACGAGACGTGCAGTCCCTGGGGGGTTCTTTAGGTGCAGGACTGAACTCCAGTGGCCCCTGCTCGGTGCAGGTCCGAGGGCTGTATTGTGGGGTTCAGTTTACTCGGTCGTGGCTTCGGGCGGGAGAGGCTTTTGCGTGTGTAGGATCGACAGCCCAAAGGGGATGCGTAGGAGAAGGAGAATGAGGAACGCAGGATACATTTGGTGTTTTTGTTGAGGCCAGCTGGGAGCCCATGGTGCCATTCTGGGACACGTTGGGTCCATCTCGGGGGCATGTTGGGCTGCTGATGGCCTTCTGGATGCTTCCCAGATCGTCTCGAAGGCGTTTGGACGCGATATGCAGAGATTACCAAACACATTCGAAACAAGCGCTGTCAGATAGTAATTGTTGAGCAAGGCTGAGATATTCAAGGGTGTTTCACCTTATGGTGTTCCAACCTACTTTAGCCTTGATCACCAGAGAGAATTTCGAGCACCAAGAAAGTACCGAAACTGGAGGGGTTTCACGTGTCGGGCCCTGGGAGGCGATGCTCGTTCGACATTGTTTTGATAGTTTCCTGGGTGCTCGAAACCATTTTGGGGATGTGGTCCTCAATGACGATGTGAACCGCATGGGTCTTATGTCGCTTCGTTGCGGTAGCTTGGTTGTATTCTGGTTTTTCGCAATGTTATGGCCCGTGCCGCCTCCTGATCGCTTCGTGGGCGCCCCGCACTCGGCGGATATGCCGAGGTTGCGCCACGTTGCCACCCCGCGGTCCGCATATCTTTCACCACACTGTTTGCACCACGCAGGCTACACGGCATATGTTACACACCATGATTTCCATTCACCACATAGCTCACACCCCACAGTGTTCACCTCCAGTTCATACCACCTAGCTTGCGCCACCTAGCTTCACCGCCTCGTGTTACCTTCTCAGTTGATACCACATAGCTTACACGACACTCCTTGCACCGCATAGCTTACACTGCATACCTTCCACCTCTTCAGTGCAATAGTGCGCTGTTTGGGGTCCGCGCTGGTTAAACATATACTGATGTGATCGGTTGTGTTTGGTTTTGGTATCTGCGCTATCCACCCAGAGTCTCTGGAGTCTTTCTTCAGACCTCGTGGGCGTGTTAGAGCCCATTGGAACAGTCTGGCAATGCATTGCGGCAACCTTCGAGGCGCCGTGGTGGATTTGGAGGCTGTGAAGGCCTCCCGAGATACGTCGTCGAGAACCCAGGGGACCCCCCCTCAACGATCCCCGGGGATAGGAGGAGAGGACAGCCAAACCTCTCAAACGCAACCGCTCCAGGCCTCCTAGATGGGGCCAGATATACGGAATCGGAGGATGGTGCCGCATCGCCGATGCATCGGCGATGCAGCGACGTCTGGAGCCCAGTTTGGACGACGCCGACGCATCGACGATGCGGCGCAATCTTCCGACCACATCCACTCTGGCCCCATTTGCCATTTGGCAGGGGCCCATTCGAACCCCAGGCAAGCGGGGGCCGCTGCCAATCCCAACTCGCAGTGAGGGGAGGGTGTCCTGGAGGAGAGGGGGTACGCCCAGGATGTGTGCTTTGCTCTGGTGCCTGGTTTCCCATCATCGTGCGTTCTTGCACTTTGGGTTGGCATTCCCTCTCCTCCTCCTCCTCCTCCTCCTCCTCCTCCTCCTCCTCCGCCTCCCCCTCCTCCTCCTCCTCCTCCTCCTCCTCCGCCTCCCCCTCCTCCTCCTCCTCCTCCTCCTCCTCCTCCTCCTCCGCCAGGAATTGGGCGGCCAGGTTCTCGCCCGGTGGGCGCCCGTGGGCGCCTCCTTGGCGCCTCACAGACGTGGCCCGGGCGTCGCGGCTGGCGGTTCGGTTGTCGCCCGTAGGGCGCCTCGTGGGCGCCACACGTGCGTGGCTGCTGGCTGCTGGGTTCGGGGGTGGACAGACCTCCTACCCTGAGGAGGAGGAGGAGAAGGAGGAGGAGGAGGAGGAGGAGGCGGAGGCCGGAGGAGGAGGCGGAGGCGGAGGCCGGAGGAGGAGGAGGCGGAGGAGGAGGAGGAGCGTGGTGAGCCGAGCTCTGGCCCGAACACCAATCGGGGGTGGACAGACCTCCTACCCTGACACGTCGATCAGTGACTTGTCCGTTTTCGGTTCTCGAGAGGGCGCCGCGGCCGCCATTTTCCAGGCTTGCGCCTGCCAGGTTTGGGCCCGGCGTCGTTTTCACTAAACCACGTGTTACTAAAGGGGGTTCTGTCCATCCCCGATGGGTTGTCGCCTGGAAAGCGCCTCGTCACCGCCCGCGTGGCCTTCACGACCCAGCTCATACCACATTGCTTCTACCATGTAGCTTATCCCACGCGTGCTGCACCACGTATCTTGCATTGCATGTTTGGCACCGCCTGTTTCACAGCACACAGCTTGCACAACCTCGATTCCATTCCACCACACAGCTACACGCCAGCATAGTGTAGACCGCTAGCTTGCACCACAAATATTCACCATACTATCAGGTGTTGCGCCCACCAGGAAACAAAACGAGGGCCTCGACAAATTTGTTTTTGCATTTTTTCATGTATTTATTGGTGGCGTCAAACGCGGTCGTCGCCGATCGCTTGCCCTGATTTAGCGATTTCGGTCGACGGAGGCACGCGAATCGCGCGAGTTTCCTTCTCGTAACTGCTTCTGCCGTGTGCCGCGTTTTCATGGCGCACGTGCCGCGCCTGGCCCTTTCAGATTCAATCGCTCGTACTAGTGCGCGGGCCGCACGCAGGCCGCAGTCCACGCGCGCTTGCGCGGCGCACCGCAGCGCGCTTCGAAACGATGTTGGGCACAATGGCATTTTTAGCGCAACGCCGCGAAATTGTTAGCCACCTCGCGCGGGTGATGCCGAACGCACGCGTGTCCCACCGCATGTGCGCCGCCGGAGCTAATTTTCCGATTTCGGTCGTGAATAGTATCGCGGGCGTGTGTCAGGCGCCTTCGACGCGCCATGTAGGCCCGCGCCGTGCGCGCCCACGCATCAGGTCAGAAACATATCATCTTACTACTTCCGCGTAATGCAGCGCGTGCGTTGCAACGCTGTTAGCCAAGGGCGCTGGTGCGTCGCCGAAAACCACAGCCAGGTTCCCTTGGCAGGAGGATTGGCGGGGGGCGCTCATATTCACCACCCTAAGGGGAGCCGCCAATGGTTCTCTCACGGTCCCGTTCGCAGCCGTTTTGTGGGGATGTCTCAAGCGGTGTGCTTGTTTTCTGTCCCAGCATCCTTCGCTCTCGGAGTAGATTTGGAGGATGTCTCGAGCGAGGCGCTCCACTTCACCCCCCCAGGTGGGCCAGATTTTGAGGATGTCTCGATCGGTGGCCAGACTCGTGGGCGCTGGTTTTCCTGGGGATGCCACAGGAGGCTCCAACAGGTTCCAGGAGGCCCGTGGAGACCACATGAGGTCCCAGGATGAATCAGGATGCCACAGAAAGACCCAAGAGGCCACAGGATGCCCCAAGAGGCTCTAGGAGGCCCCAGGAAGCTCCTGGAGGCTTCAGGAAGCCACAGGAGGCCCCAGGAGGCCAGAGGAAGCGCCAGGAGGTCTCCGGAGGGCAACAGGAGGCCCCGAGAGGCCCCAGGAGCAGGAGGCCTCAGAAGGCAACAGGGGTGGTTCCAATCCCATGTGTTTTACGTATGCTCTCATATATTGGGCCTCACCTGGGGCACGAATCCTTGATGTTATA